GTTAGTGTTGGACTTCTGTAAATACGACATGAGACAAGAATTGATTTCCCTTGTCGAAAAAATTTCGCGACTCATCTTCAGAATCAGATTAAGAATCAGATCTGCAACTTTTTTTGCCACCATGTGTGCAGCCTTGCCAATATGGTCTAGCCAGGAGCATGTACAACGTCGCCTATTTGCCAACATGACGTTCGAGTCGTGTATTTCCACGCAATGACGCCAACCGCTTCAAGAATACCGGTATGTCCTTGGCTAGTGATTTGGCCGACTCCCATGTGTCCTCAATTGGTTCCAATCCTTTCCAGCTCGCAAGTATGTCGTAGGCCTTCTTTTGAGAATTCCGTCTGTAGTCTAGAATATCGTTAACGGCTAGGATTTCGCACTGGGCCACTACATGTTCCCGTATGTCTTCTGTGATTTGAAAAGAGCTTCTGCATAGAACTTCAAGCGCGAAGGGTGAACGTCTGTCTCCTCCCCCGTCACTAAATGCCGTACAGCGAAAGAGTATACGTCCGCCCGTGTAATATGTTATGGTCCTATGTGGTGTAGAGATAATCAAGATCGACGCCGCCCCTAAATTAGGACCAGTCTGAGCTAGAATGAATCAAGAAAGAGTGTACCCATGCAACTTAGATGTCAAGGTCCACAGTACTGACCTGGCTGGCGATGGATAAGGAGTCAAAGAGTACGGTATTCACCTAGCGGACGTCAGCTGGGTCCAAAGAATTGCCTAGTCGTTGGAGCCGGTGAACGGTCGGATGAGAGCCGACACCATCTATTCGACTTGATATTTGTATAGGAATCATAGGAAAAAAAATAGGAAGAGCCCGAAGACATAACAGACAAACAGAGCAGAATTTTCCGAGCTCAAGACACGTGTACACTCTTCCAGTAAGTCCCAGGGCAGGATTATGTCTGCCGTTAGTACCCGAGAGGCATAGCTTGTAGGGTACTGACTGGCGGCGCCAAGAGATAAGATAGCCCGGGTAGGGCAACAGTCTCGCTCCGCGCGAAGAAGTAAGACTCGCTCAGCGAACACATAAAAAGAACCGCTCAGCCGGGCACTGACAAGACTGGCCACGTCGGCGAGCCGATATACCGGATAGCCCGTGTGCCGTGACGCTTATAGCTGAGACGCCTTTTCCACTCGGTGGCCTGTAAAAGCGCTCGCACCGTCGTCCATTCTTTGGTG